GACAGTGATAATGATGAATTACATATATATTAGCACACAGCCTGAGGACTCTCTCTGTCACATACATCCGCACACACATCTGCACACAACCTTCTTGCACTTAAACAGCAAACACCGAAAGAGAATGAGTCAGCTGAATTCTTAATGAGCGCGCACACGCGCACACACACACNNTACGTACGTACGTGCCCCCACGCGTGTCTGCATGCGTGCAGCTGCTGTTAAAAGTGTGTGTGACAGACAGTCTCTCCTTCCATGCATCTGTGTTTAATTAAAGGCAGAGTTTCGGCATCCCAAGCCACCGCCGCAGCCTATGCGAGCACGCACACACACACACGCACACGCACGCACACACGCACACACACACACTTGATGACAGGTATTTCCACTTCAGAAGAGCCACAATGCTGAGCTGTGAGCCCGGTGTCAGTCACTTCCTGTCTGAAGAGGTCACAGGTTAAACACTCTTCAGTCTCTTTAAATCCTACCACAGAAAGACAGTGAGACAGAGCAGAGATATCACAGTAACTGGACCGTATTCTTCTCCTTATCCCTGCAATCTTTACCCTCTGTACCCACTGAGCTGAACCTGTTCCAAGTAATAGAAACTGCTGGTTGTTAACACTTCCTTCGCCGAAAAACTGGAAGTCATTAACGCTTTTTTCACCAAGAAAGACCAACGCAAACTCAGACAACAATCGGTTAAGAAGAATTTTACAAACTGATGGTTCCCCAATGTGAGGATTTTGCTTTTCTGTTTTCTATCACAGTAAGACGAATATGTTTGGGTTGTGGACCGCCAGTAAGGCAAAACAAGAAGACGTCATCTGCGATAAATGTGTAAGACAAATGAAAGGTATTAGACATACCTTGGATTGCATGACAATGTACAGAGGTTTCTTTTTTTCTGGTCCCTTAATCTGTAAAATATTGCTCAAACAGGACATTTGGCAGCTCTGAAATTCACTCACACATCTTTGTGGAAACTATTTTGTGTTGTTTTGGTAGAATCTTGAAACCTTTCAAAGACGGCGTCACAAATGGCACTAGTTGCTGAAGTCTGTAAGCGGATGTTTACCTGCACTCTATCAGAAGGTCAACCAGTTTTAGCTTTATTGATGGACTGGGCTGTCTTATACATTCCTTAACTGCATTCCATCCACATCACATTACACCCATTGCAAATTAGGTAGGCATTGACACTACAGGGTATATTGTCCATTTGTTGATGTATCACAAAAGTGATTCTGAAAGATAGTGACCCGTTTCATTGCTGATCTGACCAGTGTCTGGAGTAGTTTTCAGTGTGGATTCAGGGTTAAGACTTTGAATGAATGGGCCAACATGCACAAAGAATACAGGCCCAGGTGTGCGACTGCTGCTTCCATCGCCTCAGCAGTCAGTCAGCAGGGCCTCCTCACTAATCCTCCGCCATCACTCAACTGGATCTCAGCTCTAATCTTGCTAGGCCAAAGCTCAGCAGAGGGGCGCTCCTGGCTTTCAACTGAGAACCTGACAGCTAATCTCAGCCACAACACCCCTGGGTAACCCTACACTCTCCCTGGGGAGCAGCCACAATACCCCCGGGCCACAGCGATGAGAGAAAGACCTCCCGAATATCAGAGACACTTCACACCTAGTGAGAGATGGGAGGGATAATATGATGGCTCATTTTTTGTTTGGATGCTTACAGCTGGTATAAACACAGGCACACTTTTCCATGCACAAGCTAATGGAAAAAGACACCGATCAATTTTTCCTGCGCTATCAATGCAGCTGACTGAGTCCAACACCTGCACTCGCTGTTATAGACTTTTTCAAGGTTGCTTGCCTGAATATGATCACCCATTCAGCACCAACTGGCAGGATGCAGCCTACATTACTCTTAAAGAGGCCGACTGGCTTGTTTCCAGCTGTTTAAAAGCATACAATAAGCAGCCAGAGGCTGTCAACTGGAACCGTTATGGCTGATAAGTATATGGTCTCAGACACAATGACCGGCAATCAGATACATGCAGAGAAAATATGTTACATTCATGTTAAGGTCAGGTATATGGAACAGGAAATATGTGCTGTGCTGTGTTCATGAATTATGTAGAACTATATGAATTACGTATTATTACAGTTGATTTGGTCTGTATTCCTACCCAACTGCGTGGTTGGCAATAATGAAGTCTAATCTTTTATTTGATAGTATGAAAATATAAAGCCAATATCCACTCAGATAGTATTTTGCTAGTGATAACGTGTGCAACAAAGCAGGCTTAGGTTAGCCAGCCAGTCAGTTGCAACCCAGCCACGCTTCATAACATTATCCGGCACCGGCTGCCCCACAAAGTAGACAACAAAGTAACCTGCAAACAGCAAGCCAGCCAGATCAGGGCCCTGGGAGTCTGGATAAAGCTAGCTGACTATTACTGCTACGTTAGCTTGCTAGCGATTTGTCCCCTTTAGCAAGGAAGCTAATGTTAACCAGCTAAAACCACAATTACATATTACATAACATATTTCACAAGCTTTGCAGTAATGTTGGTTGTTTATAAGCTAACGTTAGCTGGTGTAGCACACTGTTGACACTGTGTGGAGAGAGAAAACAATCCTGAGTGCGCACCAACGTCACATCCACATCCTAAGTCCCGTCCACACACAGCTGAGAAAGTTGCGGGAGGTCTCATTTTTTAAGTTACAGTACAATCCATTCACAGATTGGCAATAAAAAGTGATTTTTACATTAAAAATAATATTTAAAATGCTTCGGAATCTTACATATGGCACCTTTAAGAAGATATTATTCCTTAAACTGGCCATTGACAGAGAGCTGTAACAGCAGATTCAGGCGAGTACACGATTTAAACAGAGATAAACAAAGATAAACAACACAGATACAAACACAGGGAGAAGCCTGACTCACCACTTCAGTAGGACGAAAGTATTTTGGGTCCACCTTCACATGTATCACCCCTGTCTCCTGGCAACGGCCGACCTCCTTCTCATCCTTTCCATCCCACCTGGAAAGACACAAAGTTTTAGCAGGAGGAGACATTTTCCCACAGCTGCTGAAGGTTCAGCTGTCCGTCCCTCCATCTCCCTGATCATTTTCTGGGCAGTTTGTTTCTTTAACGCCTCGCGCAGACAAAACATGTCACCTGCCTTTTTTTTCTGAAACCAACACAGCAGGCATTGCATCTTCCAGGACACAAGAGGGAGGTGAATGTGAGGTGAGACAGGGGAGGAGACTGAGATATGGCACTAAACAGGAGACAGGAGTTTCCACAATTTGGCCTCTTTCAGCCTTTCATTCTGGAACATTACTGGCTTCATCTATCCATAAATGTTCCGTGATGGCTCTATTCAAACATGACAACCAATACAGAGAGAGCTGCAATGTTTTCGTGATATTTGACATCTGGCATAAAAGAGGGGACAGTGGCACTGCTGGAAAACGGCACTGAGCTGGAAAATAACATGGATGAGGAAGAGTGTTCACATAATGATTCAATTAAAACTTATTCTGCAAATGAATAATCTCTGTTGCTTAATTAATGACAATCCTGCTGCTTTTCAGTCCAAGAAAATCTATACATCCCCCAACACATTTTCTCATCAATTTAATTACTCATCATGTAGATTTTAATACAGTCAGATGTTGCTGAAGCAGAGCTAAGAAAAAACTGTTGTGACTTCTTTCAACTGCGAGCCATTTTTCTGGATATACTTCACGTGTTTTGTTGGATAAGCAGTTGGATGAAAGTTGAAAGGGGAATTTAGCTAATAGTCTGGGGTGTTTAGTAAAACATTCTTCAAAAATAAACAGATTTTTATACCCTTGTTACATCTCATGTCATCTTCTCCACATATTAAAACTGGCTCATCCACATTATTTTGTGGTTTGTTATTATTTATTATTTTATCTACTTCTAAATAGGAAACGATAAACAAATCACTAATTTATTTCAACATTGTTAAGAAAACACAAACTGTGCACAGACTCTTTATGAACTTTAATATGATTCAGACTGGAAATGTGTTGTAAATGTTAGTAGGCCCGTGCTATAGTTGTTGTGACTTTGGAGCTCATTCAGCATGACACAGACATGTAAAATTGCCAAAAACATTTATGGAAATGCATATCTGAAATAGAATTGTGTGTGTGTGTGCACTCACACAATGGTTTTCCCCACATGTTTGAAGGCCTTTTCCACAAACTCCCTCACACTGTGCACCTCCCCCGTCGCTATGACGAAATCCTCTGGCTCCTCCTGTTGCAGCATCAGCCACATAGCCTGAAAGAGACGGAGGCACAGACAGACAGACAGAGACAGAGAGGTTAAACCACTGAGAGATCATAAAGACAGTTCAGTGCTCCACACTGGACTCTGCCCAACTTGGTACTGACAGACAGGAAGTGAACCTGCGACCTCTGAGCGGGGCATTCGGCCGTACCTCTGTCCTGACGTCACCGCAGGGGCTCATGGGACAAATACCGTGGGAAAGGAGGACAGAGCGGTCCCACAGGCCCACTGTGCTGCTGGCACACACAAAAACGCACACGTGGCCATGAACGCACACACGCACCTATGCACGCAAACAGATTCGCACACACTGGTCACCATAAGACAAATGAAAAGTTAATAGCAAAGTTAAGGAGGTGATAAACGTCCAGAAATAAAAGTACGACAGCATCCAGTTCTGACTTGTGTTCACTATTTCTAACTACACGGTGCAGGCAGTATTATTATTAGCCTATATACCCCAGTGAAAGCTGATATTCTGGGTCCCTTAATGGACCCAGCACTATATTAAACAGCCAGCGAGGGCGTCTGTGCGTGGTTCCATAATATTTATGGTGAACCAGAGCCAGCGGGTCAGAGCTGCTGACCTCTGGCACGTCTAGCCTGATTAGAAGAGACTCGCCGGGGACAGAGACAGAGAGACAGACAGACAGACAGACAGACGCTCCCATCTATACTGACAAACGAAATCAGGACACAAGCACAGATTTTTAAAGTGTTGTATACAGAGTGGGTATTATTTAGATTTGAATGCTTTTTGTATTCAGTTCTTCTGGTTCAGATTCTTGTTGCCTACGTGTTTATGTGTTGCCATAAATGTCAATGTATTCTGTGACTCCTCAGTGTTACCCCTTTAATATCTTAACCAAGAGTCCACAATTCGTAATCATTTCAATGCAGGCAAAAAACTCAATAAAACACTTCCTGTCGATGTCAGCCATAATGCTTTTGTTGTGCTTTTTGTAGTCCTAGTAACTGACATTGGTGACTCATTGGTGCACCAAAAAAGGGTCACCATATAGATACTAACTTTTTTATATCAATAATTCAGATAAAATATTAAGACAAATGGTAAAAGAAGAAATAGCTTAACTGAGCTGATTAGATGAAGAGATAAACAGATGCTTACAGATGTACACCTCATGAAGGTAAGCTCTCTACAGCAGAAAAGGTGAATAGGAGTGGAGTTTCCTTCCTCTCTGTCTCCACTGAGGTGACTTAAAAACTTTGCCTGTCTCGCTCTCCGAGGAGCAAATCAGCACAGTTTATGTGTTCTACTTGGATTTGATTTAGTGTGTGTGTATGTGTTCCATCCAGCCACATCAGGAGGTTTTATGTGATACAGTTGGATGGAGGAGAGGCTGGCTGTCTCCCTCTGCACATTTAGCAGATTCTGTGTTCCCTCTGCAGTAGTACTCATACATGTGTCTTTTGCAGACACATGAAAAAAAAACAAAAAAAAAACAACTAGAAAGCAAATATTCCCAGTTCCCAGTAGCAGCCACAAAAAGCTTCGATGTTCACACCCCACAAAAAACAAATGGAAACACTTTCCTAATGATTTTTCTGTTCCATAAAGGGTTTATTCACTTCACAGCATAAATGTGCTCAGTAAATTTAATTGATTTAGATAAGGAGAAATGTTGCCATATGGTAGTTGTCAGGAAATGTCAGTGTCGCAAAAATATTATGATAAATGCTTTGGGAGCCATGAATATCTACAGCAAATGTTATGCAATGTTCTTTCAATACTCTTCCGTGACCTGACAAGATAGAGGATCAGAGCTCCAAGAAAATCATAAGAAATCATCTTCTGGGGATCATGAATATTTATATACGTTTTCATGGCAATATGGCTGTTTGACATGCTGTGCACGAAGTTTGTTGGTTTTGCTAAAGGAAAGCTTATGGAGTGCCCAGAATGGAAAATGTTCATCCTCTGGAGAGCAAGCATGCATTTATTCCACCGAATGATACTCTCATGTGTAAAAGCACAACATTTGACCTGCGACAATGTCACAATCAACAGAGGAAAGATCAGACAGGTCACTATTAGTGAGCTACCTTTTGGAGACCATGGATATTGATATCAAATTTCATGGTAATGACATCCTGCTCTGGACCGAAGAGTCAGTCCCAATGACTGACAGATACAAGCTAATTAGATTTTGTCCTGTAGCAAAAAAGACGCACTAATCAGCCCATCTCGCCTCAAAAAGGTATGATGTGACTTGTGTATTAAAATACTGCTGATAGTGGTATTGTATAAGCACATGCCCTGAAACACACAAACACACACACACACACACACACACACTAAGAGTGATGGAATGCTCCTCCTCAGGGAGGCGAGGCCGTCCTATCTCAGGATCGTTCAGGGTCACCTGACCGCTCAACGTTGATGGCTCCCCTGAGCCTGACCTCTCACCCTCCGGCCCCTGATGAACACACCAGATTCTTACACCGCCATCCAAGCCAATAATAGCACCTCGGTGTATGACGGACAGCAGAACAAACGAATTGAAGCGTGTTCATGTTTCCACAACCAGAGCGCCATCAGAATCTGTGTTCCCAATTGTTTCCACATTTCGTGCTTGCTAAGTTGACAGGAAAATGAAATCATCTAACAAAACCACGTTTGTCTTTCTGTCAATTTATTTCTCAAAGGGTCCCTCTGGAGTTTTCTTGTAAACAAACAAAAGTTTACATTTAGTGTCACTCACCAAAACACATTGTGTATCCTTGAGGTCTAACAAACATGTGAAGTGCATTTCCATCATGTGAAACATTTTTTAAACCCAGCATTGTTTACCTCCACATTAACTAGTTTGCAGTCTCCTTCCTCGTCTCTGCACATTGTATTATATTCTGGCATTACTGCTACCTATATCAGTGGAATAGTGTGACACCATTGGTATGACTGTGTATCTCATCAACCCAAAATAAACAAAACGGGGACCCACTCATCGAAAAGTGGCTCCATAGCGCTACTATGGACCCACTCATCGAAAAGTGGCTCCATAGCGCTACTATGGGTCTAAACACAGGAAACCTTTAAGGAGTTATAACTGTAAAAAAAAAACACATGGAAATAGTTTCTTTCCCTCCTAAACGGTAAAGCAAAGCAGCATTTCAGTGCATGTAGGAAAGTACATGTTACTAAGTTAGCAGTTGGGTCCTAATCAAAGTTATACAATGTTGCCAAGCAAATATTCCTGGACTTTGACATATTCCTTTTTTACATGGAGCTATATTGTTATCTTTAAGTAGCCTGTAGTTCTTCCTGGACACCAACTACATCACTGTACTGTCTGTGTCAAATGACAGTGCTGGTGCCGGAAGAAGAGTTTGAAGCCATTTCTGGTCAATACAGCACACACTAAGGACTTTACTGCTTCAGTTCACTATTACCATCACAGAATCTGGAAAGAGCACCTGTGGGGGTTTGCACTTCTACGTAGTTAAAATGTCCATTTTATCTCTGTACTGAACAACCCCAAGTGAGGTTACCTGTCTAAATAAAGGTTAAATAAATCAGTAAAGTAAAAGTGACAGGACATCTTCATTAAACGTGGCAACATTTCACTTTAATGCGCTGACAGAATTGAGTCAACTTTATTTATGTATTTTTTATACACAGGATACTGATGGACAGAGATAAAAATATATTAACCAGAAAGCCAATCAATCACAATTTGGATAATTAATTAATCCTTTAACAGATCTGTCAAGCAAAATGGAAACATAACATCATTCATTTGGCCATTTCCTAGACCAAACGATTAATCCAAAAATATAATATATCAATAGTGAAAGAAATCATTAGTTGCGGCCTGACATATTACACTATAGCATAAACAATACAGATCATAGATCTAGCCTGAGAATTTAATCAGATGTAAATTCTCATTGTGCCATATTAAAATAATTCAACCTTTCCGTTCTCAATGTGAACAGAATTAATTATCACTGGAGACGGTGAAATATCAAACACTGACATCTACACTGTAATGTTTTGATCATCTGACTGGCTGATTATTTGAACTTGTAATGAAGCAGGCTCTTTTCCCTTTTCCTGCGGACCACACTGATGAATGTGGGGCCTGCAGTAAACTGGATGGCTGTGATGATGGGAGTTGGGAACGCGGCTCGACTTCTCTTGCAGCCAGAGAAAATGTTTACGGCAGGAGCTGAGTGATATGGCCTCTGCTGATTTTTAACCAGGAAATGTGATAAATAATATGATGTGTATTTTTCTGCTCATTGTAGTGGGAATATAGCTCAGTGAAATCATGAGAGACTACTGAGTCTTCTCACTCTGTGCTATTATAGAGCACCCGAGAATTCAGCCCCGACATGCACAGTTAACAGACATCAGCCGATATTTCCCCCGCACATGCAGCGATGCATCCTATTATCTCTGACTCAATTTAGCGCAGAAATATCAGCGCAAGCCTTCTTCTGACCTACCCTCCTCTACCTCCCTTGCCCCTTCTCTCTTTCCTTCCTCCCTGGGGTGTGGCTTGCCCCTCACCCCTCCCTCAGGATTGCTCTGCTTCATTAGCTATTTGATAAACAGCTCAGGGGTTCAGCCCTTCACGCTGAACCCGCACCTTCCTGTTCACATGGCCACAGGATGACCCCCATCACACACTCCACACTCGACTCCAGCTAAGAGACAGATACTGACCCCTGCAACCACCCACAACCCCTTCACCTGAATTATACTCTGACATACACAAGGGGAAACCTGGTGACTAAAGTTCAAATGCTATGTTTTGTTGAGAGACCGGGGGAAAAACATGGATGTATATCGTGTCTCTGACATTTTAAGTTCCTGATAGGAACGCTTTGAAATCTGTATTTTGGTTTAACTTCTAGTTGTCAAGTTCGTTAGTGTGACTACCAGATATCAGAAAAGTCAAATACAGTCAAGTGGTAGCTTCTGTTTTTAGATCTGGTTACATGTTGGTGAACTACATTGTTAAGTC